TGATCACATTCTTCAAAGACGGAGTATTCTTTACCTCAGGTTTACTGGACAAAATCAATAACTACAAAAGACAATGATTCACACTTTTGTTTTCATTATACCTCACAACCGTACAGTTTCTGCTTGGGAGCCCATTCGTGGGAGGAATAGAGAAGTGTGTGGGCAGGGCTGAACTCCCCTCAGGTGGAAGGCAGGGCGGTCTCACTCCCAGGGACCTTTTTGGTCATGGAGGCCATTGGGCTCCCATTTTGACCCCGGTATCCTCATCATGGTGGAAAAAATACATTGAACCAAGGGATCCTCCCTCCCCTTCAAGGCAGACATTCAGTACAAACACCGTGATTTGCACTTAGGTACCAGGTATCAGGAAACAGACTAAAAAGAATTCCAGCAGGCTGTATGGAGAGCTTCATCTTACAGCTTTTTCAGAAGCAGGGCTTCATCTGCAAAGGGCCCTTTCATCTGGAAGTATTTCCTCCGTCTTTCCCCTTCCCTGGCATGGACACCTTGAGTTTAGGATCATCTCTGCAGATTCCCTAGGTCTGAATCTGCGAGTAGATGAATCTGCAGCAAGCCGCATGTGTGGTGCTTCCTTCTCCCTCCTCTGTCTCAAACTGTGCAGGCAAGCACTATGCAAGCCCACGTCCTCTGCTAAGCGGTACTAAATGGTTTTCGGGTTTTCAATCACACTGAATTGGCAGGATAAGAAAAATAGGTCAGATAAATATGGGATGGTTGTTGAAGGGAGGTGAAGAGGCTGCTTCTCTACAGAGGTGAAATTCCAGATGAGTCAGTCTCTGGGGAAGTGTGTTTAGAAGTGTTCAGGACTTTGTAGTTAGCATGACCCTAAAATTCTAGGGGATTTCTGGTGGGACAGTGGGTGGTGAATTCTGAAGTTTTGGAGAAGAAAGTGGAGCAGCCAGCAAGTTAGCCAGAGTTTTCTCAAGAGCCAGCTTTGCTCAACACACTCTCCTGGGCCCCAGGGAGTCCCACAGAATGGGGAAAGCGGGAACTCTGGAGTTCTTGGGAATCTTGGAGCCTAAAGAGGAAACGAGGTGCAAATTCATTCACGGCGACCGACCCTTGAGCTTAAACAGATGCAGCAAATGAAAGAACCCGACAAATAAGGAAGGGCACAGGCCTCTCCGACTCTATTTACAGTCTGTAACTTTCCACTCTTTCTGTCGCCCCGAGGCCCCTGAATCCTAGCTTTTCTCTTTCCCATGCTTGGGGCCTCGCGTGATGATGGGTATGGGGCTGCTGATGGGAAGGTATGGGGTTGTTGGGCTTTTTGCCTGCTCCCTGCTGAAACAAAAGAACGAATCCTGGATTTGTCTAAAATCCAAAATCTTGGATTTTGCCCTCTTTTTGGATCTCGCTCTCCTTGGTAGAAGTTTGTTCCAGAGGGGTTCTCCCTATGAATTTGAACTCGCTCTTCTTTTGTTGTTGTTCTTTCTCTTCTTTTTCTTACCTTCCACTAAAGGGGTTCCAAATTTTCCTGGTCTTTTTCTACCTTACTGTCTTTGTATCTCGTCTTTACTTCCACCTGTTTGTTTCTCTCCATCAGTGGGGGCTGAGTTGTTCCCCCAGCCTGCCAAATTTTAATCCTTCCCCTCTTTTGGCCAGATGCTAGGGGGAAGAAATCCTAGTATGCCAAAAATATATGCTAAGCATAATTAAACTCCATGCGGGTCCATAATAGCCAAGAAGCCTGCAGGAGAAAGCCGAGGGCAGTTCCCTCTGCAGAACACCCCATGCGTGCTGAGAGGCAAGCTCCCTCAAGAAGAGCTGCCCTTCCAGGAGGCTTTATTTTGAACTGCCCCAGGACCCCACTGGAGAGCACAGCATGCCTTACCCCTGGGTTACCCTTGGTCTGTGTGCTCTGTACTGGAGGCTCTGTTCTGCCTCTTAACAGCCAGGTCAGGGGCACACATGGCTTACGTGACAAAGCCAGAGAGGAGAAGGCAGCCCTGATAGCGTCACACTGCATCCCTTTGCTAGCAGGATGGGCAGCTCTTCAGACGGAGCTGCCGCTTTCCTGCTGTCTAGCACCTCTAGGGCCTCTCCAGACTGTACCCAGGGAGCTCTGGGACTGAAAGATTAAGAACATTAGGCAGGATCAGATGACTTTCTCAAAGAGGGCAGGGGAATTTTCTCTCCATGGGCCACAGGGGACAGGGCTGGGAGAAGAAATAGACTTGCACCTTATGTCATGTAAATAATTGATTTTCTAGTTCAAGAAGATAATATTGGTAGTGTGGGAACTGGAGGTAGGAAGGGGAGGAAGTCTGAGTAAGCCAGTTGGCTTCTAAGCCAAAAGGATTCCTCTTTGTTTATCTCTGAGACAGTCCAACCTTGGGAATAGCTTTAAAAGGGAAATTAATGCTGAGACGATAAAGTCCCCTTAAGCCAACAAACCCTCTGTAGCTATAGAATGAGTGCAGTCTTCTGTTGGTGTGGACTCAGAGCAATTTACAAGAGCTGTTCATGCAGCCATCCATTTGTGCAAAATAGGGTAAGAAGATTCCAGAGGATGTTTATTGCTTCCTCATACCACATGGCTTTTGGTGATTCTGGACGAAATGACCCAGAATGGTCATTTCAGGCACAACGATACTACATTCGTGTGTCTCTGCTTTTAAACTTGGCTGGGCTATCAGACCCTATTCTTGGCTCAGGTTTTAAGAAGCCATCAGCAAATGTGTACGTGCACGCTGGAGCTGCAGCCCTCATTCCTTTGCCTGCAGCCTACTTTGGGGAAATAAAGTGCCTTACTGACTGTAGCCATTACAGTATCCAGTGTCTTTTGACAGGTGCCTGTCCTTGAAACACAAAGTTTCTTATTTTTATTTTTAATTGGTTTAGTTCTTACTGCTGGCCAACTCTTTACATCCCCAGCAACTCACTGGGCCATTGGATTTTTTCCATTATGTCCATTACCCTTACACCATGTACCTCAGATCTCTCTCTCCTCTCTCTGTTATAGTTTCTCGTCTTGGACTTTTCTTTTCTTTTTCTTTTTCTTTTCTTTTCTTTTCTTTTTTTTTTTTTTTTTTAAAACAAGTGTGATGCCATATCAAGTCAATGTTATTCTCTCACAATGTACTCTATAAGAGGTGTGGGTGTGTATTTGGTCAGGACGTTAGAAAGTGCTGAAGTAGCATGATCCGTATATGCAGAAAGGTTTTTAGGAAGTATGGCAAAATGTTGTATTGGCTATGATGGTGACGTGATATAGTCAGCTGCATTTTAAGAGGTCTTATTTGTTCAGTATTAAGTGATTTAAAAAAAACAATAACCTGTTTTCTGGCTAGTTTAAAGATGGATTTGAAAATGGTTTTGAATGCAATTAGGTTATGCTATTTGGACAATAAACTCACCTTGACCTAAACTATCTGGCCATTTTTGACTTATTTATCAACCAGCAGTCCTCAGAATGGAATACACTTGTGTCATGTCAGAACTCTGTTTTATGCTGCTGCAACAATTGGCAGGGGCATAAAAGACACATTCTAACCTGGAATAGAAT